GTCTTCCTTCCAAATGTACCGTTTATAAGGTTCTTCTCTATGGACATGGGAGAACACCAAAAACTTAGCCATAAGCAACCATCTTAATGAAAAAGAGAAGAACGACAGCACTGGTATCTTATAGATTGCTAACGCTCAAACATACTATTTGTTAGATTAGATTAACAAAAATCCGGCACCAAAAGGCAAAAAAGAAAAGCAAAGAATGCGAGTGGCACTTTACCTCTCCTTGTATGCATTATAGCTGATCTCATGCAGAAATTGTTAATTCCTGTGCGAATAGTATGTCCCAAAACATTTTCGTATTGTGGATGCCAGCACATAGACCTGGTTCAGCATTAATCCAACGTCAATGGCTTTCATACTGTTAACAAGTGCCTGCACATGCGCCCACAACACATGCACACATGCACAGAGAGAGAGAGAGAGAGAGAGAGAGAGAGAAAGAGCAATTGTCGACTAATTAAGCGCACGCAGTAAATTCACATTTTTGTGAGAAAAGGACATGTTTTTAGCAAACAAAACACTTTCCAGTGTTCTCCAACTACCATCTCATACAAATCCCAAGCTTATTCGATTGTTAAAATCCAAAGAAAATATGATCTCGAGGATGTTTCCCATGAAAGCATCCCAAAGTCATCTTCTGAAGGGAACCATCGCTGGCTCTTCAAAATGCACTTCTTACAAATGAACTGCCACCCTCAATTTGTTATTACTATTACATGCAATTGCAATTTCAGTCAAAGCCGTAGAAGTATTCAGCGACAACCATGCACAGAACACTAAGGGCTCCTCATATCAAAAGCTTGAGCGGAAAAATTCCTCATTCGACGAACTCCATAATCATTCAAGCAAAACGAGAAAGAAAAGGTCGCTATGCGCTCGCTGTGCGGCTTCGTAAATATCCAGAGCGGCCAAAGGCACACACATTTTTAGAGAAAGAGAGCATCAGTAAAATGCTCAAACATGTCGCAGTAGAAGCTCCAATTGAATTCCGGCTAAACGACTAACAAGCCAAAGATTTCATCCCCGGATACAGGACAGCGAGACGGACGACCTCTCGCGCCATTACACACTCCACCACCGGCGTCGGTACCGGAAAAACTCAAGACGAGCTTCGACACTTACGAGCAGAGCAGAGGAGACGGGTTGGGAGCGAAGAGGTGGCGAAGGTTGGGGCGAGGCAGAGCTTCAGAGACGTCCATGGCCGCCGCCGCCGGAGGAAAGCTCACGCTTCACGGCTCACAGCTGAGCGAAGGAGGAAGTTGAAACGCCGAGCCCGCCATGACAAGTCGAAGCTTTTGGACGACTCGAGTTCGCCATTGGAAGGAGAAAAGCTTGACTCAGGTTTCCTTGTCAGTGGATAGAATGCCGCAATGGATAGAGAGAATCACAGTAGAGAGAGAAAGAGAGGAGAGAGAGAGAGACTTTGATGTTGCGACAAAGCGAAGAAGATGATGGGATTTAAGGTTGTCGGAATTACATTTTCGGTCCCCTAACTTTAGGGGAATTCACTTTTGGTCCCATACACTTGGTTTAATTACATTTTTGCTCGTCATATTATTCTCATGATGCAATTTAAGTCCTTTCAGCAGTTTTCCATTCCCAAATTTGCCAGAAATTTGCCAAGTTGGCACCGATTGGTGACACGTGTGCCTGCGCGTCCGAGCCTCCACAACAGATTAGACTTTTAATCCCCTGCTAATTTTAACATTTAATAAAGTAATTAATTTCCTCTATAGTTGCTATAATGTTTATGTTATTAATCATGCAATTATTTTGTAAACTAGGTAAAAAAATATTGTTCCGTTCCAATTGTACCAAATGATGTCCAAATGATGTCCAGGAGAACCCAAAAGAAAAAGTAATACCAAATCTAGGGGGAAGAACAGCAAAAGTGCCAAAAGTTGTGTACGGAGCTCACTTTTGTGTCAAAAGTTTCAAACGGATCACTTAAGTTCTAAAAGTTGTGAAAAACGATCACTTAAGTGCCACATCCCCGGAAATCCGACGTGGCATTTTTTTATTAATTTCTCAAGCTGATGTGGATCTCCGGAGGCTAATGTGGCATTTCTTTTCTTTTTTTTTCCTCTTCTTTCTTTTTTCCTTTCTTTTCTTTTTTTCTTTTCTTTCTTCTACCATGGCCAGTGGCCGGAGGCCAGCCACCGGCCATGCCCGGCCTCGCGGGGCCTCGCCCGGAGGAATGCGACGCCTCGGCGAGGCCGCCGTGACCTTGGCGAGGGCTCGCCTCGCCAGATCCGGCAAGGCCGGCCCTCGCCGAGGCCACGGCGGCCTCGCTCAGAGGAAGGCAACGCCTCGGCGAGGCTGCTGTGGCCTTGGCGAGGGCTCGCCTCGCCAGATCCGGCGAGGCCGGCCCTCGCCGAGGCCACGATTGCCTCGCCGGGCCTCGCCAGGTGGAAGGCGACGCCTGGCGAGGCCGGCCTTGGCCGGTGGCCGGAGGCCAGCCACCGGCCATGGTAGAAGAAGAAGAAAAAGAAAGAAAAGAAAAAAGAAAAGAAAGAAAAAAAAATCAAAAAAAATATTTAAAAAATTGAATTAGACACGTGGAAATGCCACGTGTCATTAAAATTTAAATATAAAAGTCACGTATTAAATTTGATCGGAATTTCTCGCCGTTGGCACTTAAGTGATCGTTTTTTCTCCGATTTGGCACTTAAGTGATCGCCGACGTAAACTTTTGACACTTAAGTGATCCGTTTGAAACTTTTGGCACCAAAGTGAGCTCCGTACACAACTTTTGGCACTTCTGCTATTCTTCCCCCCCAAATCTAATATGCGAGGTTGAGCGAATGCCCCTTCTCACTGAGATATAATGCTAGAAATGTGCATCTAATGAAAGATATGACACGCTTGGTTCGACTCAAAGTATTACTTAAGGGAGTTGCTACGATTTCGATTGACTTAAAAGGTTTTGCCTTTTGTCCCAATTAAATTGAGAAAACATCTTTTTGAATTATATTTGGCGATATATTTTCATTACAATTTGAAAACGAAAAGAGAAAAAATGATCCAAGCACGTTCGATGAAAATAAGCAACAAATAAGTAAAAAGTATTTTTTTTATCCTGAAAAATGATGATTTGAGTTTTTGAAATTGTAATTCCTGTTGTTAATTCGCATTTTCTCACTCTTCATTTACGGGATAATTATTAAAAGATTCCTAAACTTATTACACTTATGTCAACTCAATCCACAAATATTTTAATTGTGCCAATTTAGTACTCAACATTTTCACATTTTGCCAATTGAGTCCATTTGACCAAAAAACGCTAACATGGACATCGACCATCTTACGTGGCATAACCGACGCTGACATAGACAAATTTTTAATTTTTTAATATTTTCCGAATTTTTTGTTAATTTTTTTCTTTTCTTTTCTTTTCTTTTTTATTTTCTTCTCTATTCCTTCTTTTCTTTTCTATATTGTGGTCAGCAAGGATTGTTGTAGTTCGTCAGCCATTAGGCGAGGGCCATACTCACCCAGCCTCACCATTGCCTCGCCCACGGCCGCGATGGCCTCTCCCAGATCTAGACGAGAGATGCAACCCCCGCCAGCGGCCGATGAGGGCTTCGTGGCTCTAGCCTAATGGTCGGCGGAGCTCTAGCAACTTTCGCCGCCCATAGTGAAAAAAAAAACATAAGAGAAATCAATATTAAAAAACTAAACAAAGTTGTTTACGTCAACTTCAACCGTGCCACGTAAGATGATCAGCGTCCATTTCGATAAAAAAAATTAGCCTAATGGACTCAATTGACAAAACTTGAAAAATGTAAGACTAAATTGACACAATTAAAAGGTTTGAGACTGAATTGACATAAATACGATAGGTCTGTGATTTTTTTTGGGGAAAACACCACCAAAAACCCCAAACTATGTCACTTGTGACAAATTTACCCCGAACTTTTTAGTCAGGCAAGGGCTGCCCTTGCTGAACTTCCACCAACCACGGCGGAGGGGAAGAGAGAAGGAAAAAAAAGGAAGAAAAAACAGAAAAAAGAAAAAGACGAAAATGCCCATGGACAAATGTATTGTGGGGTAAATGTGTCACAAGTGATATAGTTTGGGGTTTTTCGTGTCACAAAAAAAAGTTTGGGGTAAATTTGTCACAAGTGGCATAGTTTAGGGTTTTTAGATGTGTTTTCCCTTTTTTTTGCAATTATCCCCGTCATTTACTACAGGAAAAATTCCAAATAAGGGCTTGAAGTGCCATTATTTTCTCAAATAAAGACATAAAGTGGCTATAACAATTTTAAATAAAAGCCTCCCCGCCGGCCAACCAAATTTTCTGGGCATTTTCATCCAAAAACAAATTTAACATAAATTTTAGCTAAATTAAATTAAAAAATTAAAAAAAGAAAAGAAAAAAACAAGTGGGAGGGCTAGCCCAGCCCTCCCCGCATGTGGCTGCTACCCCATCGCCGGTGGAGCGACGCTAATGACTGGCGAGGTCGCCGACAACCCTCGCTAGAGCAACCCTCTCCCAGTCCCTCGCCTCTAGTCAACAAGGGTTGCCGGCTCTCACTGAGGTGCTGGTCATTGCCGTCGCCCCATCGGCGATAGGGCGATGGCCACAGGCGAGCGATGCCAGCCCTCTTGTTGTGTGTTTTTTTTTTTTTTTAATTTTAGCTTTTTTTTAGTTTGTTTTTTATGGAAAAAAATAAAAAAAAAGGAAACAAAAGAAAGAAAAAATGGAAAAAAATAAAAAATAATTATAAAAAAAATGCCTTGATTTTAGTGAGGCTAGATCCATTTTTGATACTGAGATAGCCACTTCATACCTTTATTTAAGACAAGATTTACTTTAAGCCCTTATTTGAAAAAAATGAGGACACTTCAGATTCTTATTTGACACAAAATTTACTTCAAACTCTTATTTGAGAAAATAAAAATACTTCGTGTCATTATTTGGAATTTTCCATTTACTACAGGGTTCTTATTTCCCATTTTGCTAATTTATCATTATTTGCCTTCCCTGTAATGTGACTATGATTGTCTTTCATGAGATGGGGATGAGTGCTTAAAGGAGACGAATTCGTGTCCTAATCTTTGCAGCTCTCTTCCCTCCCTCCCTCCGCTTGTTGCGAGCATACGGCCCGAAACTCTCCTGCCGTCGCCGAAGAACACACCCGTCTTCTGTATTGAAGAGCGCAACCGAGCGCTCCCGGTCGCTTGCTCGTCTCGTGAACCAATCGTTGAGGCTTGGAAATCTTGCTCGAATTTCGCAGAATCTGCAGCTGTCTCGAGGGTGGGTATGTCCTGCTCTGGTTCTTCCAAGTTTTCATTCCAATTTGGCTTTTCTTTTTCTCTTTCTTTGGTTTCTTTGATAGCAGAGGTTGTGATTGAAGTACGTGAGAGAATACTCTGCGTGTGTGATTAATCGGAATCTCCTGGGCATGATTAAAGTTCGAAACTTTATTGGCAAATGGTGGCTGGTGATTGCCGTTTATCTATCAGCAGCACAAAAGTGGTGGTGGGAATGGCTCTTTTAAAGCTAGAGTGCATTCAGCAATCGAATTAGTGTTCCGTGACCATTGCTGGTTGGTTAGTGATTGAGCGAGCTTAAGCGAAGGATTTATGAATTTTGCCATTATTGGGACTCAGTTGATAGTGTGTTGGTTGCTCGTTGGATTAAAGGGTGACTTTTAAGTATTGTACCTGCGAATGTGGAGATGTGTTTGTTGATATGTGCGGTGAATGTATTTCCAAGATAAAAGAGCGTGTGAATGCAAGAAAATCGTGTGTGCACGCCAAATGTTTGGTTTAATTTCCAATAGAAAGGTGGTTTCCCGGATATAATTTCTACACTCATTATCTGTAAGACAGTGCAATAGCAGAATAGGTTGGCGTGTTGATATGCTCAAATGCTTAAAATGTGAGCAAATCGGGTGGCTTTGGGTTGGATTGGGTTGGTTTCGATAAGGCTCTGCAGGTTGTATCTGTTTGAATATGTAGATGTGAGTTAAATGGGCCATTTCAGTCAAATGCTTATAGGACCTACCCGTTTGTCACCACAGGGAACCTTCTAAGTGGGTATTAGCCTTGCATTTGCTAGAAGTTTTTTATCATGTAACTCGTACATTACCCTGTTATATCAAAACTTTTATTATGCCAATGTATGCTCTTTAGTTCATATTAAATAGTATTCAAGAAGTTGTGGCTCAGTCTAATACTGTGTGATCTCATACCCACACCTGCGAAAACTTTTTTCAGTTGCATGTGTACTTGGGTATGAACTGAATTTTCATGTCATGCATTAAACCTATGCATGGAAAGAAAATCATGTTCTGTGCCAGAAGGTCAACAAGTCATTCCTAATTTCCTACTATTTGGTTGTATAGATAGAATGAAATTTTCTTTTTTTCTTTCATTTCTTTATGGCAGAAGTTAGTTTTGCCTAGGCCCAAAATCAAACAATAAAGTCATTGGAAAGTAAAGGTAGAAAGCCAAATCAAGAAGAAGATGGAGGGGTTAGTTTCTTTTCGAGCGACGGCTAGGGTTCCATTTCATGGTGTACCTTCCCTCATGCACAGGCCCACAAAGTCATCAATCTGTAAATTACTTCCAATTGCTGCAATGAACCTTCATGCCAAGGAAAGTAAGCTCTCTGTCAGCTGTATCCGAGCTCAACAGGTTGATATTCTCTTCCAACTCTGTTGTTTCTATGGTAGAATTACATAACCAGTATCTTCGAATTGGCTTTACCTGCTTAATGACTTTTGGGAATTAGCACAACTTATCTTTGGAATATGCATCAAGAACTTTTCTGCTCAATTTCTCGGATCTAGGCAGAGTCAATGTGGGCATAATTTGAGTAAATAAATGCTGTCGGTAGAGTGTTTGTGCTCCATTATCTTGTCTTGGTGAATTGACATGTTATGTCTGCACTATGATACATATCACATGTTATGTCTGCACTATGATACATATCAAGCATTTGATTCAGTAACAAAATGCTATGAGAAAAATTACGGCTGTTCGAGTTAAATAGCAAGCCTGATATATTTCCTTTAAAGGCATCAACCTTTTCATATTTCCTTTAAAGGCATCAACCTTTTCCTCGGCTTTGTGATCATCAACTGTTTATTGAAAGTACCATGTTTACCACCTATCTCATTTGCTAGCTTGTGTTCATGATAGAAGCAACAAAGTTTGAAGATCTTCGCTGAACTCGTGCTTCAGTTTTATGTAATTTGCAGTACTATTCAAGATAGGCATCTTGATATGGAAACTATAAGCTCGTTTCATCATCTTTCCAAAATAGTTGATCTTATTAACTTCTATGATAGCATTCATCAGCAAAGGCATATACTGTTTTTCTATGCAGTCGGAGACCAGTGATATATCTGCTACAGTTGTATCTGCTAATGAATCACAAGAAAATTCTCTTAATGCTAAGGACTGGGAATTAGGGATGTACCAAAATGAAGTAGCTGCTAGCCAAGGGATCAGGATTAGAAGAAGGCCACCAACTGGACCTCCCTTGCACTATGTTGGGCCCTTTGAGTTTCGATTGCAAAATGAAGGCAACACTCCTCGAAATATTCTGGAGGAGATCATATGGCACAAGGAAAAGGAAGTCTCACAGGCAATTCATTATCATTTTTCTTGTAGTATATCAAGCAGGCAATATTGGTGATTCATTGTGATCAGTTGTTTCTTATGCTTTTAATTTCAGTTGAAGGGAAAGCGACCCCTGGGGGTGCTTAAGAAATTCCTTCAAAATGTTCCTGCGACTAGAGATTTTGTTGGAGCTCTTAAAGCTGCTCATGAGCGTACAGGACTTCCAGGTTTGATTGCTGAAGTTAAAAAGGCTTCTCCAAGTAGAGGAGTACTGAGGGAAGATTTTGATCCAGTAAGTCGCATGTTCTGTTGTATTAATGACATCCCTATCCTATTTACAGATTTGTAAGTGACCCTACTTAAAGTCATACCAATGTAACAATGTATGCTAGGTGACAATGGATATGTCCTCATCTCTTTATAGGAGAATGTCACATTTCCAGTTACAGATATCTATCACCTATTTAGGCTTTGGGGAGCCTTGGTTTGTATCCACTATTCATAGCTAAGCCGCTATAGGTTTAATTCCATCGTTTTTCATGAGAATTTTCCCTAGAATACTCGACGTCAGCTGTGCAACAGAGGATTTGGCACAGACATACCTTGATTAGAAAAGAATCAATGCGACCAATCCCACTTAATGGGAAAGTACTTAATTGTTGTTGACGTTACTGGTGTATGGTAAGCTGTGGCAGCGATCTGGCTCTGAAATTTGACGAATAGTAGTGGCTGTTAGTATCTCTTGAAACGATTTATTGTTGGCAAATGTTTCTTTCAGGTTGAAATCGCTCAGGCTTATGAAAAAGGAGGGGCAGCATGTCTAAGTGTTTTGACTGATGAGAAGTATTTTCAGGTAAACATGTTGGTGAACTGTCTTTGGGTGTAGCATTTTAATGTTCATAAGTATTAGCAATATGAATAGCAAATAATAGATATGTCGACTGACGGCAGTGGCTGATATATGCCTGTTCATTTTAATTTGGCCAATCCAGGGGAGCTTTGATAATTTAGAAGCAATAAGGAGTGCAGGAATAAAGGTTTGCCCCTGGAGATAAGCTATCTTCTTGAATAGGTACATCAGTAGGAAGTTCGTTTTTGCTTATCGTCTTAATGAAATAATTTATGCAGTGCCCTCTCCTGTGCAAAGAGTTTATAGTAGATGCATGGCAGATCTACTATGCTCGAGTAAAAGGTGCAGACGCCATTCTTTTGATTGCAGCTGTGCTGCCTGACCTTGACATCGGATACATGATTAAGATTTGTAAGATGCTTGGCTTGGCTGCTCTTGTTGAGGTTTGAATATCTCTCTTTGTATTTTTCCTAGTTTCAAGCTTGTTTTGCTGTTCTGGTTGAGAGTTGGCTGATCTCATTTCAAGCTGGTTTTGCTCTTCTGGTTCAGAGTCAGCTTATCTCATTTGAAACTAGTTTTGCTCTCCTGGTTGCAAGTTAGCTTAGGAAAACTCATGATGCCTTCTAAAATTAAATTTTTACCTCTTGTCGTACCATATCCTTCAAAAGTTTGCGACGCTTATATGCAAATCTGTAAGGTATAATCTAGCCAGAAGGCCTATGCCTTGTTCTAGTCATCTCATTTTATTGGTGATTGGAACTTCTGTGATGTTCTCTTTTATTAGTCCTTTGTGATCTATGTCCCATACCTAGTAACACAGGTATTAGTCGGATCATCGCCTTGGACTTTTAATTCAGGTGGTTCACTTCAGCTCCGATGTGGTCAAATTATTTCCTGACAAGAATTGCAATTATTTATAGGTGCATGATGAGCGGGAAATGGATCGTGTCCTTGGAATAGAGGGAGTCGAGCTTATTGGTATCAACAACCGCAATCTGGGTAGGCTTTTCTTATATATGATGACATAGCTTTTAAACTAATTAGTCATTCTATGTGATGTGAGTATCAGGGGAGAACAATTTTGTACTAGTTAGTTTCAGTTTATTATTTCTAACTGAATCATTGATGGTAAAACCAATGAATAAGCTTGGAATTTTAAGGACAGCCACTGCGACAAAAGAGAAAAATACATAGTAAATGATTCTAGCAAGGAGAAAGAAGAAAGGAGGCAGTAACACGTTCAGAGAGAGTGATGTCCTTCAGCTGCATTTTTATATCTCCTCTCAAATGCAATATATATTCTCCATGAGAAGTGAATCAGGATTTAGACATTACTCCAGAGATTGGATGGTGTTAAATTTGATGATATCATATTGGAGGGGTGTAGAATTCGATGAGACCGCCTGCACGTTCTAGTATTTATGATTGATTTGACCTCTTTGTTTGCAGAAACATTTGAGGTGGATATTAGCAACACAAAGAAGCTTCTTCTTGGAGAGCGTGGTCAATTAATCCGTCAGAAGGATATAATTGTAAGGCATCCCCCTACTATATTTTCTTTCATGCTGCAAAGCAGAAAGAGCAAATCCCCTCTGGTCTCCTTTCATATTGGTGGAAGTATTGTATGTCATAACGGTTGCTTGCCTGATCTTAAATCTCTCTAACTATCTTCTTTCTCAATAATTATGAACCTTAAGGTTGTTGGGGAGTCTGGACTGTTTACTCCTGATGACATTGCCTATGTACAAGAAGCCGGTGTTAAGGCGGTAAGCACTGCATCTGCTCTGCATTTCCTTCATTCCCGCCCAAAATACATGTTTTGCTGTTTAAGCAAGAACTTTTTCGTGGTCAAGTCAGTCTATCATTTGTAGCCCCAATCCCAAGTGATAATTTTCTCCTGTTTTTTTCCATTTTGTCTACCATCTCATTTGGGTTGTAGTTTTGATGGATCTGATGGTACTTGAAGGGAGGATGATGAGATTAACTCCATCATTGGGGAACGGGTCAACCTATAAATGTACCGAACTGTGTTCAAAGAAATTATTTGTGATATAAGAATTATAAACGTTACAAATTTACACTTCCACACTTCCAGACATGATTCTCAGATGAGCTGCAGGTGATTTGATGGACTTTCATATTACTTTTGCAGGTCCTAGTTGGGGAGTCGATTGTGAAGCAAAGTGATCCCGGGAAGGGAATTGCAGGACTTTTTGGGAAGGACCTCTCCTTGTGAGCTCAGAGCAAAGTTAAAATGGAGCTAGCATGCCGTGGATGCGCTAAGCGAACTGTTGTTTGACGTATCTGCAGGTCATTGTTAAGCTTCCTCATTTGCAAAGAAATGGAGGAGAGCATTGTATTCAAATATCTACTGGTAGGAGATGACATCTTAGGTCCGAGTTCATCGCAATAAACATTCTGTATAATTATTTCCATTTGATAGACTGGGAACCTCTCCTGAGCGTTTTGCGCAATTTTGCCAATAATCTACCATTTCTATGGTAGCCTTTGCTCCATCTCGAGCATCATGTCCACGAGTGCATGAGCATGGTATTTTCGCATTCTGTGAACGCATCTCTCTCTCTCTCTCTCTCTCTCTCTCTCTCTCTCTCTCTCTCTCTCTCTCTCTCTTGCCAAACTTCCTTAAAAAATATGTCTAGGCTGCCTACCGTTGAGAAATAGGAATCACACCGGCTCCCCATTCCGTATGGAGAATTTATGATGTAAAGATGCTTCTAACGTATATCATCATAAGTCATCAACTGCTGAATCACCAATTATACAGACGCTTCAACGACAAAGCAAAGACCAAAGATTGCACATGTTACCACTCATTTTATGTCCAAATGAGAAGGCCCTCCAATTTTTTCAGATGCATTCTCTTGAGTTGGCAGACACTGATTTTGGAGTATTAACATCCAGTCCAAACAAGTACACGGTAGTAAAATAAGTGATGGGTAAAGAATAGAAAGTGGCCATATAGATGCACTCAACTTGTAATGGTTTTTGTGCCTGGCTCAATTTGTCGCATAGATATACAAGAGCTGATGATTTGCCATCGTCATCTAAATTTTTTACCCTCCACACCTTTCCAAAGAAATTATTCTCTCCTTTGGAAGTTGGTAGTTATTCACAAAAGGGTAAAAGGTCATACATAGTTTACAGAATGTTAACTAAACGTAACATCAGAAACATTTATGTGATCTCTGTTGCTCCTGCTAGTATATTGGATATGTTCCTCTTCTCTATGAATAAATTAAATAAGAAATTGTGGTGCTCACACTCATTTTGATTAAAAAAAAAAGCGGAAAAGAAAACAGTTCTGTCAAAGATACAACAAACATGGTCACCTAACATCATTGTGGACTCCACTTTCCAGATTTGAACACTCGATAGAAGCTGGACCTTCTGGAAACGACGAAGAACACTGCACAGCCACCACCACATTCAATAAGGAAGAGATAACAATGAAAGATTTCGCTAGGGAGGTGAAGTGCAGATGATGGTAGAAATATTACAATCATTGCAAGTCATTTTAGGTCATCTAGATTCTTTTCATATTTTATTCCGTTTCTGCCAGAAAACCAAAGTACATTTCACTCCTTGAAACAAACAGGTCATAAATACGCACCTGGAATTCCCGGAATAATGAATCTAGACTCTCTCAAAACATCATGGAGTGTTCTCTTCTCGTTAACTCTGATCCACTTATTGCCAGAGTCATCACCTGAAAATATGCCCAGAGAATAGATGGGAATTAAGCATTACATAAAATGTATAGACGAGCTCTACTTCTTTCAACTGAGATTTTCTCAACAGAGGGAACATATGAACTATCTAAAGCTGCGTTTCCATAAAATAAGATGAACTTGAGACTACATTCCTAAATAGCACTAAACAAATCATGAGAAAAGATCACTTCAAATATGAGTGAAAGCCACCAACATCAGATAATCAGATACTATACTTCTGGTAACAGACTATTACCATTAACTCCATAAAGGTTCAAAAGCAAAGATAACTTCAATAGTAAGAGTAAATGACCCAAACGAGTTATGTTGAAGTCAGTTGGTCTGAATATGCATGCTTCACCCTTCAATGAACCAACAAGCATGGAAATAATGAGACGTAACCACTTTCAACTATCACCAAACAATGTCCAATATGATAACTAACGCAAGTTGTCCACCCGTTTTCTGTTTGCTTCAGCGGCACCCAAAAACTCCCTCTGGCCTCTCCAACAAACCCATGAAGTGCATTCCTCCATCTCTCCTGATAAATCCCAAAAGCAGCCATTGAAGGTTTATTTCACTTAACCGGCTTCTTTAAGGCTCCTTACTGCTAATTGTCTCCTATCAGATGTTTTCCCAGCTTATAAATATATGCTTCATGATGACTCTCAATCTCACATTAAGCTTCAAACTTATCTCCCCACATTTTAGATAATCACAGGTGTCTTTCAAATCATCCTCCCAAAGATCATGAAGGACTTCATGTTCATCTCAAAACCAAATATCAATCTAAGTTAGTTACATTCTACTTAATAATCAGGAGCCAATTAAGAATCTCTTAAAATAAGAAAATTTAGTACATACCAAAGGAGCCTGTAAGTATGGCTTCATCTTCGCAAGTTGTCCTAAAGTATTAATGATTGATGTTCATAAACAACATAACCAATGGAGAGGCCCACACAATCAGTTGACCTACCCTTCTAGATGTTTAGAGGAAATCCCTCGAATTATTCTTTGATGAAAACCTTTCATGCTGGCCAAGCATCCGAAAACCTTATTTGAGGTTGTTTTATTATTTTGTACCTAATATTTCTATAGGGAAAACAATTACACTTAAAAGACTCTTAAAGTCCAACGGTAAGAGACATGTTCAAGTCAAGTGTTGCAAAGCAACTAATCTAATAGGAAAAATAAGAGCACCACTACAGGAAAGTTTCAGCGAAGAGAAGCTCTACCAGCAGAGAGTGTGGTACTAGAAGAACTGCCTGTAGCGTTTTCATCTTCATATGGAAGTTCCACATTAGTACCCGCAGTACCTTCTAAAAAATATTGGAGGAGTTTTGCAGTTGACAGACAAATTCCAGAACTAGCCTGCAGACCAAAGTTAGTCTCTTGTATTAATCTTCCACAATAAAGTTAGAGGCAGCATGTCGTTTCTCAAGGAAAAGATACTGATGGAAGAATCTCTCCCAATATATCTGCAGTATACTATTGCCAACACTTCTGCCCGAGGGTGTAGATACAGTATAGTGGAAATTTTTCCATCTCCCAGCATCTTCCTAAGATCAAACCTCTAGTATGGAACATTGCGTTGTGCTCAGAAGTAATCCATCGATAACATGACCGACAAAAAGTAACAGAGATGTAGAGAATCAATCTATGTAAACAATGAAAAAGCATTTTGACCTAGATGGCAAGATTACTCATGAGAGACACAAGATGAACAAGTATCAACCTTAACCATAGAATCTTTAGCGGCTCACCTCATAGTACATCTCAATAGCATCATGGGTGTACTTATTTTCTGTATCCCATGGCAATGGAGGAGAATCCTCTGAGAAGATGTTCAAATGTTAAGGAAACATTCAATGAAGGAAGTGCTCGCATCACAAAATTCTGATTGTCAAACAGGGGTGATAAGGGGAAAAAGAACCCTCTGATTGTAAGAGGACGGTTGCACCACTAAAATCTCCCACGTTGCAATCTCATTATGTTAGTTGTACATTAAGAACCGGTTATAGATCAGTCACAACTAAGAAATTTGTCACGGAGGTGACTTGATTCAGACTACTGTCCAATCCATGACAAATTCTCCAGTTTTCTCTTCAAATTCGATGGAATTCTTGGTAAGAAGGTAAAGTACTTTTTCTAAAGTAAAAGGGCTGATAGAAGCCTTCTCTCTTCCATCTTTCGCTACCCTCTTCCCTGATCAGCATTCAGCAAAGACCAATTAATCACAAGGGACACTGACTCGGGAGAAAATAATGTGAAGGGCGCTGAAGAGGTTCCTGATCTCACAAGACTTCATGACAAGTTTAGCTAGGAAAGGAGCCTGATCTCAAAACACTGTGAGCTATATCCTAAGGTTTATGAGATCAATAATACCCTTAAGCATTTGATGCCTGTATCAACTACTGACCATTTTAAATTGCTATTTCTAAGAATCCAGTGTAATTGTACATCGTTGTCTACTCCATTTAAAGTGCTATCCCAAAGTAAATTCACCACAACAGTAGTATGAATGCCTTCTGCAAAGTCTTTTCTCCATCTCATAACAGACTCTTATCAACCTTTTATGTGTTTTAAACAATACCGTTCCGTAATCAAGAGTCAATGGAGATATTCTAACTCATTAATCCTACGTGAAAAATCTCTTTGAGGACCCATTACCGAAAATGGTCCAGAAGACCAAAAACACAGATGGCAGGAGGAGGTTGCACGTGTTAGCATCAGAATCCAAATGAGAAATCACGTGATGGAAATAAAACGCAGTTATCTCAAACATGCAACTGATCATGGATATAGACTTTGCCACGTGATGGCAAATCGAGTTAACAAACTGTCAAGTAAAAAATCATGTAAAAGAAAAGGATATTAAGTCAAGATGAGCTGAGAACATGTCAATCTCGCAGAAGTCCTCAATGAAGTCACTGGACATGACCTCTGCATACAGAAGGAGAACTGGCCAGTGAAGAATGTTATCTTTATCTAGTACAGGCTTTTTCAGGCCAGTAAGCTCTCGATACATCGCCTTCCCCATCTTCAATTTGCGTGCCTCAATTGCAGAAACAAGGCCCTAAGAATTTCTCCAAGACCAAGACATAGAGGTTAAAAACATAACGTAAAACAATCAGTAAAAAAATGAAGATTTTCCTGGAACAAGTACAGATGAAGATATTTGAGATGCCTACCTTAGCTACTGTCACCGCATTGGAAACTTCGGCTTCATGGCTTTGGCGCTCCATTATGTTGGACTCGACTTTCCTTGCAAGTTTTTTTAGTTCTTCATTACTTGGGTCCTTCTCGAGCCCATGTTCACAATACAATTTGGCTTCTTTCAACAGATTCAGTGACAAAGATGCTTTGGCAGCTCGATAAAAAGCCTATAGCATGCACAATCATGCCTTAAGATCCACAAAGTCAACATAACTGGAATATAACTGTAGGTGACTTACCTTAACATTCGCTTGGCACAGATTAATTGCCTCCTCGGCATCTGTTAGAGCACGCCTATAATTTCCAAGAAGCAGATTGACATGTGCTCTATTTGCAAAAAGAACTGAATTCTCAGAGTCGCTTAGAGCTTTCTGATTAATGGCCCTCGTGTAACAATCAATAGCATCCGAATAGTGTTTCTTGCCCAACTTGACATATTCATTACCTTTCTCCTGCAAAGCAAATGGACAAGTGAAACAGACACGAAGAAACTGTTTTTCAAAAGCGGTAGTAGCAACAGTGTCTGAACTATGGATGAAGGCATCAATCTAATGACAGTGTTTTGGCAGTCCCAAGGTGCAACTAACCTATCAGTAAAACAGTTCCTGTCAACATCTACTCAATGAACTTACCCCTAAAAAGCGCACTTGCACTTAAACTCCTGCATCTTGACGGCCAAACGTACATAAATAGAGAAGTCGCTCTACATCAATATAAAGAACCCAGTCCTTACAAACTGAATAGGCACACCAACATAGCACAACATTCATGTACTGATGACCCGATAAGGGATGTAGCACCAGTTCCTGTTCCTAACACCTAGTAGCTCAACCGATACTATCTGTTGATTACAGCACATCATCTCGACGAATCCAACTAGTATTCCGATCAAGAAGGTGGCAATATCACAGACAATTTAACTCAATGTAAAAGAAATTCACATGGTTACCAACTGACAGAGCAATTTAAGTTGCCACAGCGTACAGTCTCCTACCCCCACAAGCAGGCCCACAATAGAAAAAAAAAAAGAAAGTCAGCCAAGTTTCGAACTTTCGTTCGAATTGACAACTGAAATCACACCACTCGCGCTCCAACCAATCCACTTCAACAAAAGCATCCGTCAAAGACTCGCGCGGAGCCAAATTGTTGCACGATACGGCACGTCTCGACGGCGCCAAAAGAGGCGTCGAAGTCGAGTGATGGGTGCGAAACAAGACGCGAACTTGCAAAGGGGCAACCGCTACACGCATCAAAAAACCGTGAATTCCGCTGAGGGAAGCGATGATCTCACCTTCAGCTCGAGAGCGGCGGATTCTTTGAGGGCGGCAATGGCGTCGAGGTCGGCGGCCTCGCGCTCGGTTTGGGGCTGCGACCCCTTCTCCATCCAAAGAGCCATATCGATTCAGCGCCCGGGTTTCGCTTCGCTCGAAGTGGGTTCGGACAAGAATCCTCCTCGTACTCGGGTCGTTGTAACTCCTCGGTACTTTGGTCGGACTAGGAGTCGCTTCACTTGAGACTTCCCAGTTTTCGAGCGTTGCTTTGGCGGCAGTTTTATTAGGTTTCTTCCGTTTGTCGGCTCCCCCCTCCCTTGAAACTTTCTTTTGCAAATCTCTAGAGAAATCCTAAACATATTGTATTTATGGCAATTCAATCTTAAATATTTTTGACCAAAAAAAGGTTTTAAACCTATTAATTGGATCCGAAACATTTTGATGATTTGTCGATATAGTTCATTTGACCAATATTTATTTGAGTCCACATAACAATATTTTTTTTTGTCAAAAAACAATTCGATAATTTACCAATATTTATTTGTTAAATTTATTGATGCAATAAAATTTACTAAATTACTTGATTTAGAAAACCATGAGCCTTAATTTGGGTGATTATTAACTTTTCGCATGTTAATATACCAATTAGTTTCAACTTTACTAGCTCTTATTTGAATGTATTATCGACATTTATGTGCAAGCTTACCAGCATGGTAAATTAACCAACTCTTATTTAAGTCTTTTTGCTAATGTTTATTTGATTATTTGAAATTGCCAACCATTTCAATTTATTGGTTAAAGTCACCAAGAAGTTAAATTTATTTGCACAATTTGCCAACTTGTCCATGCAACTAACTCTTCTTAATATTTACCAATTGTTATTTGAGTCCACTTACTAACGTATATTAGATTGTTTGGACAACATCATCCGTCCCCATAATTTATCAACATTTATTTGTTAAAGTTAAAGGCATGTTACAGTTACCAACTCTTGCACGAATTTACTAATTATTTTCAAAATTGCTAAGTACGTTAATAATTTTTCAACATTTATTTGCAGAGCTTTAATTTGCCAGCTCTTACATGAAACTAAGTCGGTGAATTATTAGACGTTGCTATTGAATTATTGGAATAGTCGGTGAGGAAACAATCAAATGAACATTAGTAACTGACTCAAATGTCTAACTGTTTCAATAATTTATAAATGTTAAACTTTGAGAGCTTGACCTATAAATTTCATCAATTACGCACGCCTCGATGCTGCATGGCCATATATGTTTATCGGGATGGAATCATGGGGAGTTCATAGTTCATTTCAGAACACTCTGCTCAACCAGTTTTCAACCTCAAAAGTGGAGATTTGCTAGATTTAATAACAACAAAAATTAAAGATTTATCCTCCTATCATCCTCATTGAACCAAATAAGAGTCTTAGATATTCAAGATCAAAGTACTCTAAATAGGTGTTGGACGATAATCTCTTCAGAAATAAAACAAAACAAAACATAAAATGACAGATCGAGCGTTTCTCTGTCTGATCTAGAATTTCAAAAGCAAAAGATAGTTAGAAACAGCACAGGCAACATCAGTTGCAATATGACATTCCGAGACACCTGATCTGCTATCCTCTCCATACTTCGCAATCTAAAAGTACAATCAAAGTTTATAGAGTGACAGTAAGATGATTGTATCCCTGCTTGACCTCAGTTGATGCCGAAGTCCTCATATCTCCATTGACGCCGAAGTCAGATTTTGATCTGAGGTCACATTGAGATCTCAACAAGTCTGAGAGTTCACCTTTTGAAGTATCACCATTTTTCTCACATACTCATTTGAAGAGCTTTCTGAACCCATTAAATATTGTCAAAGCTCGCAGCTCGCCGCTCCTTAGATCTCTCAATCTTCTTCTCAGAATCTGAAACGAATAGCCACACTGGGTAAGCATGGAAAGCGATATTTATGGCTGCAAATATACGTATGCCATATCACACATATGTTATCTGTACAGAACAGTGACCAAGATGACCGTTGGCAAATCAGACAAATCAGACATTGCTGCCATAAGAATATATCACACAGAATAGATGCAACTAATCGGCAAATGATGCACATTAGACTCCTTACATATTGAGCTCGGAAAAGTATCCTTCTCTCGCTAGTGCATAAGTCTACTGCCAACTGTTTTAGAAACAATCTTCGGTTGAGTTGTTTCGGAGAAGTCACGTCTAAATCCATCAACCCACTCTCCTGAAACATTAGATTAAGAAAGAAGCAACAAGGTCGATAGTCACGTTATCACTTCTGATCAAGGTGGGATTTAACTATTCCAAGACGAGGAAACTATAGATTGGCACAGTTTAAAAATTGATGCAAGATATAACAAACTGCACACATTCAGTCCCAAAGGCAGAATGTTCACCTGCAAGAATTTGGAGTACTTAGATATACTCAATTCACAGCTGTCTAGTATGTATTGCAATGCTTGTTCCTCTATTTCAGGGAATCTCATGTCCTTCTTTGTTGTTGTTTTGTTTGAAGCTGCAGCTGCCAACTGCAAACAGATAATAGCTGTATAGGGAAAATATAACAATATGACAATTATATTTCTCGAAGCAAAACTTAACTACCTCCTCAAATTGACTGCTCATGCTGGGCGGGCTAACAGCTAGATAAGCATATGCCATCAACTCTACCGGCCAGCCGGTTATTTGTACGGGAAAACACTGGGAGCTGCCAAGACAGAGATAACTTGCTTCTCAAAACATGGTGTAAAATAAATATCAAGGACCAAGATTTGTATAGCACGATGCTGAAGGACATAGATGCGCAATTACATCAAAACTAATGGTAAATCAACCTTAATGCCTCAATCGGATGTTGATGTTAGTACATAAATCGCATATAACAGGATGCTAACAAAATATTAGTCGCAGGTGATTCAGGGGTTGCAACCAGATGTCGATGTCGAGCAAATTAAATTGATGTAGCAAAATTAGATTACTTACGCAGATAAGCCATGCTTCCTTAGAGCTTCTAGCTTTTTGCTGTAACTTTTGTCGGATTTCTTGAGTGACAGTAATATCTCTACTGAATCACTTGGGTTCGTGCCCTCTTTAGGAACAAACCCATAAGACAGTAGGAGTTCACCATTAGACTTCCTGCCATATGATATGAAAACCTGCAAAAGCCAATCCAAGAAATCAGAAGACTTCCACATCTCATTCTTAAAACAGTTCGAGTTGTAGAAAGTTACCTGCTCGCCTGGTTGATAGGGCCGGTCAGTTGTGAAGACAACTGCCTGTGATGCACTATCATAGTCCAGAAAAGTTTCGACCTAGGCCAGTCAGAGGTTGCCATTTAAGCATCAACCACTAAACAAAACATATAGCTTGACATGAGAATGATCAACACACCTCACAACTGTGATTCAACATATCTGCCCATGGAACCAATGCAACCCTTCCATCCATTGAGGGTAGACGGACCTGTTTGAAAGCAATGTTAAAATCAAATGTCATTGTTTTAACCACCTCATCCCAGAAACAGTTAAAAACACTCACTAGCCAAATATGCACTCGGACAGATTATGTAATGATGGCTTGATTACTTCTTGTTTTTTTTTTTTTTTTAAACATCCATTGGAATATAGATGATAGACCATTTCTTTATATAGGACGTTACTACTTTCTACCATCCTTCTGTCATGTCCTCTTCCTACAGCAATGTAACTGCAGTTCTTCATTAACAGTTGGTATGAACAATCCATCAGCAGTAGGAATCACGGGCACACGTAATTCTCGAAAGGCAAAAGTCATTTTGGTGATACATGTCTTAGAGCTGTTGAGAGTTCCTTACCAAGCGCGAGAAAAGAATGCCAAATGACCACTTGAATGTCTCCAAATTATATACCTGTAATTCAATGACTATAGGGTAAGAGAAGAACCTGCTTATAGCAAGTACGGAATCTCTACAAAAGAGAATCCGGGACCAGATAAATAACTTGAGAAATAGAATTTACATGCTAGTTACAATATTGAATGTCAACAAATTCCGACATTACATATGGAAGTCTATAAGTCTTGGCAAAAAATTACTAAATGCAGGTTTACCGCTACCAAATATTTCTAAAATAATCTCCAGCATTCTAGGATATCAACACTTATTTAAGGTAAATACCTCTTCAGGAAATAATTCAGGATGCTTGGAAAATATCCTGGACCTTAAGTCGTTATATCTGCACAGGAGATCGATATCAGCATCCACCCTTTGAAAATCATGATCTCAGAAATCAAGTAGAACAACATCACAGTGAAATATGGCAATGTTAATGGCAAAGCAAAGGGCAAGCTTACGTTCCAATGACATTAGTAATCCTTTCAATTGCTCGTTGTCTAATTTGTGATGCTTCTAGGTATCTGTCCAGTTCTGCACGCGTCCTGAAATTAAAAACTGAGAGTAGATCCTTAATCAAATAAATTGAAACGAGAAAATAGAAACAAGAGCTATTGAACTTGTAAGTAAGTTGGTAAAACAGCGCAGGAACTACCAGTATAAAAGTGAATACGGCTGTCTGGGGAGAGCCGAGATATAATTGCTCCACCTAGAAGACCCCATCAAACTTGCTTCGCTAATCAAGTATGTAGCAAGCAACGGCCAATCTGGCACTGAATTTTTCTTTAAAACTTGGCCAGCCTCTGCGCAGCTCCACTCCTACCGTCATCGAAGCAAACAGGCAGAGAGACAAAATTTCTTGATTAATGAATCTAGCAAGTAATGAATGAGCATCGCAAACTTCCAAACAAGAATTTGTGAACAGCCTCTGCCAAATTGGTGCCCAATTCATTACTCTAGAACGACATGACAGTTAAATAAATCGGATCCAACACCTAACCTGATCTAATACCATGTAAAAGAGCACCCGACAAATCGCTTTCCAGACAGAGCAAATTATCTACTTTCTTTCTTCTGTTTCACGTACCCCATTATTATATTCATCTCTCAGACGCATGAAAGGCAAGCCATTCATGCCAAAACTACGTAATTCACGTGAAATTGCTCAGCTCGTGACCTGCTCACTTTACCCTCACTGTATATCAAATTTCAAAGCTTCTGACGCTCTCCTTGAAATACACAGTAAATAGGGATGATCACGTTCTTCTCAATACCGAAGCAACGGCGACAGTAACCTTACCGAGTCCGCGGTGATCACGAGCGAAGGAGGCACGAACAGCAACTTCTCGCCCTTCCTTACATTCTTCGACGCGACGAGCCCCCTCTCCCCGACGTCGACCCGCTGGATCGCCATCTTCTGCGGCGGCAGGCCGGAGTCCGACAGCCACCCCCGCAGCGCCGACGCGTTCTCCAGGGAGTCGGCGTCGCACCCCCAGGGGATCCGCTGCGCCTCCGACGCCCTGGCGGCGGCGGCGGCGGAGGAGGCGGAGTCGGTGGCGGGCGCGGAGCAGACCACCGTCGCCGCCGCCGCCGGGAGCGAGGGGCGGGGCGGGGAGCGGCGGCGGGAGCGGGAGCGAGGCTTGTAGGCCTTGCTGTTGAGCGGAGGGGAGAAGGGCGGGAGGAGCGAAGTCTGGAAGATTCTGGAAGCAGCAGCAGCAGCTCCCGCCATGGCCGATCAGATGTAGAGAGAGAGAAGAGAGAGAGAGAGAGCTTATCTGAGAGAGGGGAGAAGAAGAGGAAATGAGCGGTTGCTGGTGACTCGCGGGAAAGCATTCGTATCGCCGAAGCACCGTCCAATAGGAAAATGGGAAAAAAATACTTTTATTTCAATTAAAAACATTAGATTTTTCATTTTTTATTTTTTTTTGTTTAGTCCGTGCCCATTTTTACACCTAACGATAAATGCGTGGAAAAATAAATTACGTCGTAAGTGGATATAATAATGATCCCTAATTATTCTCGTATGGCAAAATAATAAAAAAAAAAATGTTGCTTGACACGAATTATGGCGAAAAAAAAAATTCAAAGGAAAAAGAAAAAAAGTGGTTCGAACCGAACGAAATCTACGTTCTTTATCGAGTCCGAAACCTATTCTCATATTTTCATTTCGAATAAAAAGTCCTTTTTCGAGCTATTGATGTGTACCATCTCTTTTATATATATATATATATATATATATATATATATATATATATATAGTTTGAACGAGCCGCTCAATCGATGATTCGGAAAGCATTTTGTTATTAATAATAACTTATATTGGTTTGATATCATCCTATTATGTCCACTGACACTACAAAAATGTTTTTACGCCTTCATTGTTGGACGGGTTTAATCACAGAATTATTAAAGAGTACATGTGTCGCACATCCAAAAGTAAACTGAACCTGCTAAAAGTCCAATGTTTAATAAAAAATTGTTGCTAACAACAAGCATACTTTCCTTTTCGTGAAGCCTGTAGAGCCAACGGTTATTGTGACTATTGATATTGACAAGCAACGTGTTCAATCTCGTGACAGATATGAATGCAATGATAATTTTGCTTTTATTTGTTATAGATGAGGTTATGTTGAAAAATCGTTGAGTAGTTCAAGCCTTAAAGGTACATGTGAAGTTAGTGTTTTACTGAGATCGACGGTCAATTTTTCATTTCTTTTTTCTTTCGTTACTAAGGACCCGGTCACGCAAAAATCTTTTCCGGCTTTTATTTCATTTGAAGTAAAATCGAAAATCGGTCTTTCGGGTTCGTTTTTTCCTGTTTTATCAGAAAAGCATTTAGTTTGTCAAAACAAAAGAGAGAACGTCCTCAATCCCAATTTTCCGACCCATGATAGATAGAGTAATTCAACTGAAAAAGCATCTTCTATTACACACTCGTTGTCAGAAGAAGTTGCAAGAACATGAGAAGTCAGTGGGAGTCCATGGATAAAAAATGTCGTAGGACGTCCATCATCAAAAGACACAAAAAGCAGGTACAAGAATCCGACTCAAGAACAGACAACCACGATACTTTCCATTCCTCGCGAAGCCACCGCCGCCGCGAGGTCTCCACACAGTACACAGTGGCTGTCCAATGGCAACACAATCCGACACATGAACTCGACTATTTTGCATCCACAGCCCAAGTCGACAATGGATACAGTCGAGCGAGTTTCATTCAAGAACATGCACCTTGAACATTCTCAGACTGCACCCACCTACCACCAAGAGCTTGCCGTGCTATGAGTTCCACGTCGGTTCGAAAAAAGGAAGGCAAATCTCTGCTCATTTAACAAATGTTAAGTAAAGAGACTAATTTCTTTGTTCCTCATAAAAACAAAATGTAGATCTAAGTTTCTAAATGCAGTAAAACTACTATTTTCTGTGGAAACTTAAGATAATCGGTTGATCCTACGTTGCGAAGCTCTTGAAAAATTTGCAACCACGTTCTATGTTTTCAACACTGAAAACCATCACCACAATGCTAACCTAGAACAGAACTCAATATGTCGGAAACCTATGACAATAACAGAACTCAATATCTCAGTAGCCTAAACCAAGAGGCTCAGCAGGAAATAGCCTCCACGAGAAGTTCCATGTCACATCCACCACCTCACTCGAGCCATCAATCGATAATTTAAATCCCATAGAAGAAGTGACAGCTAGTACGGCGACAAGTTTTACACGAGAAATTACACTGCACTCAGTGTTCATATACTTCGCAGCAGACAAAAATGAATCTCACATGAAATAAGTACAGATTATTCCCTGCAAGAACGTACAGGAGATCCCTGTGCTACACAGAAATGTGTACTGAATGAAACGCTACAATAACTTCGCTGACCATAGCCAGATTTGGTCCTTCACTATTCCACATATATTTATATCCTGCCTATACATGAAAGTGTGATTTTCTTTTCCCAGCTGTCTTACACATGAATTGCAATAGAAACAATAAAAGCACTAACCTGAGCTTCAGTTGAAACTGTAAATTTGACCAATCACAGAGTCGAGCAGCCAAATGCAGGAAGAGCTTCAGAGAAAGAGGTAGACAAAAGCCTACCCCATATTATCATTTATGACGTCCCTAACTTTGTCTAGTTGGCACCAATTACGATTTCCCCCTTATAGCACAGTGAAGAGGCCCAGAGGATGGCAAGGCAACAGGAACTGCCAAGCAAATGATATTTGTACAATTTGGCAGGAGGAATTTCGCGATTAGTTAATTCTTTATGGCGACGAGGACTACGATCAGCTCCCACATTTCAGTAATGCCATCCCACCATCCCTTTCATATTCAGCTCTCTTGGCTATAACTGAGGCTCCAGTGTCACCATCATGCAGATAGTCAAGGCAATCGATAGAATTGCACCTGCTCCATCCACTTCCCATCGAACCAACTATTTGCAAATAGAAGGTGAGGGTTTTTTCCCTCTGGGAATATATACGTCAACTCAGTAGCTTCTGGTTTGGCTCAATGGGTCATAGTCATAAGCATCACCAGCCTTGACAAAGCGGCCCTTCACTCGCCTTCGCACATCAGCTCTAGCTTTACGAGAGGCATATCTCACCTTCTTCTCAAACCTACGCATAAATCCAAGATACTAATGGAGATTAATAAAAAATAATCAAGGTACAAAACAAACAATTCCCTCCCGCTTTGTGGTGGTGGTTGGTTGTGAGGGTTGGTAATCAAACAAAACTACCCAGCAAATGCAGACGCATGAAACACATTTCGGCATTAAGCAGTTGTTGATTACAAGGCTCTAGAAAATGCGCATAAATGCTTAATTTTCCTGGAGATTGCAGACCAGGCAGGGGAAAGGTGGTTGGATAGGCAATGAAGCATATGTACAGCACTTTACATGTGAAGCTTCCACTACTATAAATGCACATAACAAGCGAACAGACTTGTAGATCTATGTAAAAGATGATTATTTCAACCTACTTTACTCTGAAATGATTGAATACGAGTTACTGAGTTAGTAACTTTGCTTAGGGTGTCAAAGGGAGCCATCATTACCCGTTTCTAGACTCTAGTATCTTTGGCCACAAAAACGGAACCATATCTGCTAATGTCACAGTAAATTCACGCATTAACTGTTGATCAATTTACTTTGCTTAAACAAAAAGTTCCTCAACTAGTTATCCATCTATTTCTCAGTAACCAAAGACACATACCAGCACACTATAAATGTCAAACAATCATGCACCGAAGATTTTGCACCATCAACTGCCACTGCCCAATGACAAAAGTTGGTGTGCTTGACTGTTGATAATTGATCTTGGCAGCTCTGAACAGAGACAAATATTGAAAGAAAACAACTGTAACATCAATAGCGCAGGCTTCAATCCCTCAGATCACAAGCAAGTGCATCAAAGAGCAAGAAGGCCAAAATGGTCATAGAGTGTACAGAAGCTTGTTTGCCGGCATGAAACTAGGACACAGGCCCAAATTCTTATATTGATACGATAACCCGCCAAAAATTGTTCAACTCATGTACACACACACACAGAGGGAGGGAGGGAGGGAGAAGGAAGACATGGGACCACTGGATAGCTTATAGGAGCAGGCATTGATTAAGAAAACAAAAAGAATGGTTAGCTACTAATGTGGACAGAACGTGTAAGTTGGCCGAAGAGGTGAGGCTCATATACAGTTGCATCACAATCAAATAGAACTACAAGCCCACCCAAATATGACAAGTGCTTATCTTATTTTCCACCTCAACCAATAGTTAGTGGCACTTCAAAAAAAGAATAATTCACGTCATTAAAAGTGTATGAGAGAAACAATTAACACACATTGCCCCCGACTCAACTCTCTTAAACTGGAGAACCAAAGTTATGCCAGCGGGCTCGGACCAGTACTGAAATCCCACTCCCAACTATTTTATTCAATTTCTAATAAAGCTCAGGAAACATGTCACAACAACACAGCAGATCAACGTACAGGATCTATTTTATCATGCCTACTGTGACTTGAAGTAAAGGAATTAAACTCATGCTTACTTGCGTGACTTCTTCTTTTCCTTGTAACGCATCACAGCATTGCTCCTGCTTGCTGATGTGAATGAATTTTCAGGACCAGGGGTAGACCATGGAGGCTCTCCCATAAGAAGCATTGATGAAGCCCCACAATCTTGATAATCACCAGCGCTATTCTCTCCAATAGGACCAGAGAATGAGAGATTGGAATGGGGTTGTCTTGTCGAAAAACAAATAACAGGCTCGGTTTTAGAGCTCATCATAGACTCAGCCGAGGCAACACTGCATGCAGGCTGTATTGCGTGTCCAGAAGATGATCCCTGTGAAAAAAATCATGAACTATCTTTGTTCAGTCATATGTCTACATACAAGCCTACTATGCCAGCAATACTCAAACTAAGACAGAATAAGAACGCGAGAGAAGTCCTACGAGCCCTGCAGTGAAAGCAATGCCATTAACACCTGACAGCTAGGAAGATTTAGAAACAAGAGGCAGTGGCATCATGTCGAGAGAGAAGTTCAGCGAACCTGTCACCTATATACCATGGCTGCAACAGACTATGCACCTAACCAGCCATAAACCAAACTAAGCAGGTTACACGCAACCTTAACCCAACCAGATTGCGTATGAAATTCATTAGACTCCAAGCGAATTCCAAATACCACCGAACAAACCTCTCCTGAGTTTAGAAAAAGAATGATAGTATATAACACAAATTGTTACTTCATTAGACAGAAGAAAGGAACTTAAAATACCAGCAAAAAATTCAGCATGCCTTGACCGTATAATGATGGTCACCAACAATTGAAGATGAATTAGAACAAGATTATTGATCCATGAGCAGACACAACCCAAGAGCATTCATATAGTAGAGTTAAAACAACTTTCAGATGCACATACAGTTTCCAATTAGCAGTGTCACCCATCTTTCAAAATGGGAAAGGACTAACCTCATCCTCCTAGACATTTGAGTGAGAGGGAAATCTTTCCCTGCACCATGGAAAGGGAAACACAAACAACAACGACAACAAACACCAAGCCTTATCCCACAAAATTATTAGTTATTTCCTTGGAAGACAAAGGTTGTCAACTCATCAAGAAAGCAAGCCAAGAACAGTCCACCATGATTGAATCGGTACTCAACCCAGAGCTGGGATAAACAAAAGGGGACATCAAACATCAAGCTTCTATTAAATGGTAATAAAATAACACGGTGTTTGACATATTGTCCCACCCCATGTTCTCTTCTTCATTTTGCTTCAAAAGAACGCCCTCGTGTCTAAGCCTACGTGGCACTATTCTTCATCTCCGTGTCTCTGCTAGTTCAGTCTGAAGGAAAATCATATGCCCTGCTTTTAAGGAGACAGCAACTCTTTTCAACATCCCACTACCCACCCTTCTTGTATGTATCTTCTCAAACATAGTCCACTATTTCTCAAATCAGTTTGAAGTGACAATCGATACCAGAAGTAGCTTGACTTTGATGACAATCTCACGCTGCTTTAATCTATAGCCAAAACCAAGGACATGCTGAAACTCTTGTGTTTATAGTTATATTTTATCCCTCAAAAGTGTTCTGTGTACAACAAACAAGTAATATATATTAAAACTTACACAAATATGTTTACAGGGATACCCAGCCTCCAATTTTATTAACCTAGAAAACCAATACTTTACATCATTTCATCTCAATGTGAAAACGCCTAAGGACTTCTCCTGATGAGAATACAATCCATCCCAAGAAACAGTGCAAACTATCATAGACCTAGTATTTATCCTTTCTGAGAAACGAACATGGAAAAACATTGATAGGATTCAACAACAGCAACTACCGATATAACAACATAACCAAACTCCACTCTTCTTCCGCCAAACAGAAAACGGAAAGAAAAGAGGAACAAACACAGAAAAACATATGATGCACAATTGAGTGGTAGAGAGATCATGTCTCTTCTATCGGATCATAGGATAGAGTTTGCAGCAAAATATTCAGAAAGACCAAAAACGCTTCCTTTAATAACAAAATACCTCAGCAACTACTGGACCCTGACAGTTGGAATCACCAGCAGACATTTCCTTTGTCCCAAATAAGCTGTCGATCCCACCATTCTCAAACAGCAATTCTGAGTTAGTTAGGGCAACACCAAAAAGTTCTTCATAATTTTCAAGATCCAAATCCACTTCATCCATGTTGAAATCCTCATAGAACCTATCGTCTTCAAAAAGCCCCGGACTTTTTGTAATAGGGATGCACACCTAAATGAAGATGCATAGGACGCTTCAGAATTCAGTGACGGATGCAATGGATCAATATGCACTAGTACAAAATGCATAACGGAGGAGCTTAATGCAAACAGTTTTAGAAAAGCCGATATCAATCCCAAAGACAAATAAAAAGATCGATTTTGGTGGTGTTTCAGGGCAATGTTTCCCACAACAGAACCCACATATTATGATATCTACTACCCTAATGGAAATGTTGCTATCAAATCATTTTCCTCTACAATAAAGAATAGCAGGACTACTGCTAGAGCCTCAGCACCAGGATGCCCTCTAAGAATGGAATTTACAGGAGAAAAGATCAGCACAAGAGTGGAGAACATAGATGCCTGTCTAACTCGCGTTTCACAAGAAGGCCTCTTAAAGCAAAAGGTCAACGTTATTGGAACTGAACAGCGCAAACTTTGTCGATGCTCGTGTAGAAGTTTTACCTTTGATAAATCGATGACAGATTATTTGATGGTTGAAAATAAAATTCAATATCACACCACGGTCCAGTGATTAAACAAGCATTTGCACAAACAAAGTCAAATTCATGAGATCTGTACCACAAAAGTAGAACTCACATTCACGCGATATGCATATTAGAAGGATTTTACAAATACTGTTAGATTCCTGAAAAGAAATTAACTGTTGATTCGCTTCATAGACTAACCTAATTCAGAATGATTTTTAAAGGGTAAAACCAGAAATACAGCAATAGAATTATCACTTTCATGTGACTGTTGCTAGAATTTAAGCATGGCAGGACAAGTTTAAAAAGGTGAAAGCACTCTCGAAATAGCAGATGGAGCTACCCACACTATTTTAATTTTGCAGCTCAACAATAAACATCCCATACGAGAAGTTGAGTGAATACTTAGGGCTTCTTTGATAGAACTATAATTGAGAACTAAAAATATAAGAACCGAATTTTAAGTGCTGAGAACCTTTTAAGTTCTGAAAATGGAAAACAGAAATCGCTCAATAATAGCTGATATTAGTAACTTCTCAAGCACGGAACTCTGACCCTTACTGGTAGGTTTTAGTATCATATTTGCTATTATTTGTTTTGAAAATGGAAAACAGAATTCGGATGACACTTCTTTCCCAACCTAGTAAAGCATCATTAAACTTGTATCTTCACAATCACAGGATCTAGATTGATTCTTTCAAACATGTCTCTGAACGTCAAATGGCAAAAATAAACCTCATTACTGCCACAACAGAATTCAGTAACACTGATTGCAAAGAGATAATAATAAGCACAATGTGTGCATGTCATTTAGCAAAAAAAATTCAGTCAAATAAAGGAAATGGTTTTAATCATTCACTAAATGGTGGCAAGAACAATCGAGGAAAAGGAGGAGCAATCAGAAAATAGTTCCGTCTTTGAATAATGCTTGTCAAGCAAACAGTTCTGATTTCAGGGAATCAGATACCTTTCAACCTAAAAAATTTTCTTTTCACACCATCATGCACCAACTATGTTGCGACAATCGCAGTCTGCCTTGGAAGAGAACTCATTGGTTGCTTCGTGTTCTTCTCGATGACTTTCTTTTCTCAAAGTAGATGCAAATAAAATGAACTGGTTGTTTACCTTAGGAGTCGCTGTGCTTGCAGATGCAGCCGGCTGACCCACGTTCAGAGACACTGATTTAAGTTCCGGCAATGAAGATGACCCGACCCAAACCTTTGCCTTCCCAGCCTCAACATCAGCACAAACAGATACATCTTGGCTACTGCTATCTTTTGGCGGAATGCAAGCTGCGTTTTCACCCTCCTCTGCTATGCTCATCAACCCCATTTCCTTCTCACACGTGGAATCGCGTACACTGGGGAAGTCTAGCACAAAAGACCAGATTGAAGAAAGCTCTGCTGCTGAGGGACAACCAGAATAACAGTTTAATGTTTGCCTCTTATGTGTTGATGCAGAGGTAGATGCCCCATGACCGATCCAATCACAATTCTGACAAAGCGAGACCCTCTCTTCTGCACATCTAACAACAGCAGGTTGTGAATTACACCTCTCACATAACAGCGTTCTGGAATGGCGCCTCGAAAGGGCGTTGGCAGAATGAACATTCCGATCACATGATAAGCATAAGCATGCAGCATCAGATCGGCAATACACCATAGACCTCTGCTCTCCACAGAACTCACATATATAACCCATTTTCAAGCGGTAACTCCTAGTTGAGACCGGAACAGAATCAAGAGATTTGGGATACTTCTTCAACTCAAAACCGCAATACTGGATCTCAAAATTAAACAGCAAGAACAGCTTCTTCAATCTCTGAGATTCCACCAAGCCCCTTCTCGATCCTCAGTCACACAGTTTCTCCTTTCTGTCAACAAGATAGAATATTAGTCAGCTGGATGTAGCTTCAGGAGATCAAGCTTTGAGTCCTTGTATAGGACAAGCAAAGAAGAAGTAATCTCGACCAAGAAATTCTCGTGTTGCTATTCCCAAAGCAGTAGTTTGCTCGGCGAAAACACACATGAGAAATGCAACGAAAAAATATTGAGCTTTATAAAGATGATAGGAAACCCCCAATTTCAAGCTTGAGAGCAACAAGAATTATACGAAGCCTTTACTTAGAGATAATGTCAAGAGGAAAAGTGAAACCTTTCAGCAGATATTAGGGAAACTTAAAGCAACTCAAGACTGATGAAAAGGGTTTACCTGAAGAAAGCACGAAAAAACTTTGTCCAAAAAAGGGTTTGTGGATTAACCAAAAACTAAGCAGATTTCTAACTTCATCAGTCAGCCTATGGAGAACCAGAGAACTATTATCCTTTTTACCACTGAAAAAAAAAGCATTCAATTTCACATCAAACCGTCAGCAATAAGGACCACATAAACCTTATCCTCCCCACATCGCGAGGAACGATCGATAAAAACAGACCCCGAACTACACCAGCGCCTCCAATTCACCTCGCGAATCCAACACGGAAACTCCGCGATCCAACCGCGGAACTCCACGCACCCAATCACCAACCCCCGGTCGACCCCAAAAACCGAAGCCCTCCTCGATCACCAAGCTCGCGAAGCTGATCTCGAGCGACGCAGCACGACCCGACCGAATCGAAACAAAAACCCACGAAAAACGAGACGACACACGGACAGACAAACAGCCGCGAAAAAACCCCCCCACCTCGTCAGACGGCGGCGAGATCTGCAACCAGCTCCGGCGGCCACCGACGTCAGGCGAGGAAGCGCAGCAGCAGCAGCAGCAGCATGCAAGGAGGAGGAGGAGGAGGAAGGATCAGGGAAACCCTCGACCGAAGAAGAAGAAGAGCTGCGGAGGAGCTTCGCAGAATCGGAGAGAGAGAGAGAGATATGGCGGGTTGGGTATGTCTGCGGGAGGAGTGCATGTGCTAATGTGATGAACCGAGCAGGAAGGGTGACATAAGACGATGAAAAGCGCGCAGGAGAGAGAAAATATATATTAAAAAAAAAAGGATATCATATTTATTATTATTATATTATAAGATATTGTCTTTTTCCCCTTTGGTCGGTATATTATATTATTATTTGGACAATGCAGTTAATGTTGTTTGGCCCATCTGGCGATAAGAAAAAGCGGGATTAAAAAATTGGAAAAAAGTGGCCAATTGCGGGTGGGCCCCGTGTCCTTTTCGGAGTTAAACCAAAAGTTGCTTTTTTCCGTTTTTTCTTTCGTTTTTTTCCCCTTTTTATTCCTTTTTTTTTTAATCTATTTTTTGGCCTTTTTGCTGCTAAAAGTCTAGACTGTGAACATCGTTTTGACTTGTTGCCCCTTTTTTTTTGGAGATGTAAATACTAAATACCCTTGACTAGTCTTTCTATTTTGTTGAGGTTGTCTAGTATTTAGGATGATCGTGTAATTTAATTTTTAGCTTTAGGGACTAATTTTGGGAGTGATTCTGAAATTTATTCTTTTGCTTTTTTGCGAATTTAGCAACCTTCGCACTTTAATTTATATTTAACCCAAATCGCAATGCGGAATTATATGTATTATTTATGTCTAATTCTTTTTTTCATTCTCGAATTTTCGGAGGGAAACTCCATGAATAGATATGTAATACTTCTTTCATAGTCGGTTGTAATTTATCGCGAAGGCTAAAGTTAGACATCTCGAATTTTTCGGTGACTTTTAGTTTTCTTTTTTTTTTTTGGGTCGAAGGTGACTTATTGTTTTTGGTTATACCTTTTTTAGGGGATTTATATTCGTGCTCAATATCGAGCTTTTGAAATTTCATCAGCATACAAATATTGACTAGGAATCATTTGCTTGTCCCATCTTCCAAAGGGGCAAAAAAAAATGAGAAATTAAATTAAGTTTTCCACTGTGTAGAAAATCAAAAATTCAGGAGAAAATCAATTAAATAGTTTTTGGCAATTCCCGAAAAAAATCGCACTTTGCAAGCCCCGCGCAATCTAATGAAACACCTGTCCCTTCTTCACTCGCGTGTTAGTTGTGCATCACGTGCCTTTCCTAAGCTTGTGGCGGCTACTGATCAAGACAATTAAAAACTTAATCACGTTCTTGGAGGTCATAATCATAGGATCAATCGAAAACCCTAGAAATTTCTTCTTGCCTTGCTTCATGTGATGGTGGGGCAATCGATCCTGCTTTGGGAATCGAGTGTTAATTAAGCCACCATTAGACTTAAGTAGAGCAGATGATAAGTGATCCTTTAATTTAATCTATTAAATGATGATCATGCCTTTTTCTGGGAAGTGTTGAGGAAGATCTTCAAGGGGTAAGGAAGCGTGACATTTCTTGATCGATGATCCTCAGTTGGTCACAATTTGATGATGTCACTAGTTAGGCCCGTTTCTATGAAATTTTCTCCGATGAAGTCGTACTTATTGTAGTAAGTAGCCGGCGATGTTATTCGTAAGTAAAGATTAACACCCAAATGGTCCTGACCGAAATCACACGTTTGAGGATTTGGCCAACGAAGCACGAGCTTCTACATTATCGACCGAGGGAATTGGAGCACGACCCTCTTTTAGCGTGGCCCTGTGATGAACCGGAATTCTAGCCAATTCGACAAGGGCTCGGGGGAAGCGATGGCCGAGACAAGAGGGCTATTACGACGTCCAAGGAGCGATCACCGAGACGAGAAAGGCTTGGACAAATTTCAACCGCCAACAAGAATCTTTTGTTGCAAACACATAGAAGAAATCATCATCCTAAAAAATTTCTCCAATTTTTTATTATTAAAAAAAAAATTCAAGAACTCTATCCAAATGATAAAAGAAAGGGAAAAAGCCACAAAAAATCTCAAATCGTGCCCACCATAACATATTTATCTTGAAATTTTTTCGAGACATTACAAATCGTACGTTCACCTTGACACATTTTCCTAAACTTTTTCTCGTGATACAAAAAATCTCAAACTTGTACTTACGTGATACATTCACTTTCCGTCAAGATTCCGTCAGATTAATTTTTATGTCAACACTGTTTGCTTCCTGACATTTATGGTTGCAGATTCTTAATAGTTCCCATCAACAGAAATCTGACGAATCGAGATTTTTAGTGTCACGGAAAAAAAAGGTTTGGAGCAAATATACGACGGTGGTATTTTCCTTATAAAACAGAGAAAAAGAGAGAATGAAAGAAAGGGATGACGATGAACTTGAAACCGGGGGAACCCCAAATCCCAAATTGCCAAAAGGCAAGTGGGAGGCGCAAAGGAGCGGAAAAAGCTCGAAAGCGACGGGCCCGCATCAGCATCGGGGGGGCCCCACTCGAAGATCCGAAAGCCCCGTGGGGGAAAAAAGCGCATCGACACGTGGCGCTCCCACAGCGCCCTGTCGTACTCCATCCCCCCCCCCCCCCCCCCGCGAGCATTAGAGAAACCATTTAACTTTTTTCGCCCACCATCGGATGTGGGGCGCTTGGCTTTTGCAATTTGGACGTCCCACTTGGGATATGATGATTCTAATGGCCTCCTCCTCCTCCTCCTCCTTTGCCCACTCAAAAAAACACTGAAAAGAGTTCCTTTCCCATCCCAAGGGATTTTCTCACAGATCTCCCAACAAAAAAATAATCTATTGAGTAGGGGGGCAGCGAGCGGTTCTGGAGTCGAGCCGGTCCGATCTTGAAATCCGGAACCTACCCCCATAGGGTCGGTTCTCGTGCTTTGAAACCCGGAACCGACCTCTGCAGACCCTGAAACCGACCATGCCGGTTGGTCGGATTCGAGGGTCGATCCAGAGAACCGAACCGATCCTTCCTCTTCCTTTTCAGTTTCGTGTTTTTTCTTTTCGTATTTCTTGAAATGCCAGGCTTTACTCTCTAAAGTACATGTCCTTCGACACGCAATATCTAGAACCGTGATGCTTAGAAACAAAAAATGGGCGAGAAGTAAAACACCGGTAAAAGCCAAACAGAAATCTAAAGCGGCAGGGAATTATCCAAGTCAACTCATCCTTTGGTCAAGCAAAACGAAAACTAAAGCAAAAGTAAAGATCTCCGCTTGCCAAAAGTAACCATTCGCGAAAGATGAACACGTAAAATATAATAAACAACAAGAAGTTGAAAAACTTAACGTAAAAGATGTATTTATAGAACTTTTTTTTTTTTTGATGAGGAAAAACTCACACACGCGCACGCTAAGTCACTCCGACGGATTCGAACACTCAACCTTGGGAGGAAAAGCTCCGCAGGCTGGATGTATTTATAGAACTTCATCTCTCATTCATCCACAAAAGATTGCTCTAAATTCTAACCACCTGAGAACCAAACGCAAACGACAAATATAGTTAAAATGGGTTCGGTCTAAAGTCGGTCTGGTTCAGCACCTTCTTAACCTTGGAACCCGACCGTACAGTGTCGGTTCCCAATTTTCGGGATTGAGCATCGGACCATTTCCCAAGGGAGCCGACCAAATCGGACTGCACGGTGTTGGTTCGGTCCTGCTTGAGGGCTAATCCCGAATCGGTGCTCCCCCCCCTGCTATTAAGCAGATTAATAGATATCAAGATTTCATTCGATATATCGATTTTGTTTACAATCTTCTGAAAAAAATTGACTGGTCTGGTCCCAACCTAGTCCATGAAAAGAGAGGATCGACTCAGTCGTCCGGAGACTTGCAGGAGAATTGATTGCTTGGGATGACTTCGTCAATGAGAATTGATTGCTTGGGATGTACACATGAACAGGTAGGAAGACGAGTGCGAGGCCATTTTGGAAAGTTGGGGAAAAATGTGTAATATTTGAAAGTACAGGGGCAAAATGTGTAATATACCGAAAGTTGGGATGAGTATCGTGAGATTTTTCTCTATTATATAAAAATAAACAAATAGATGTTCAAGGAACTTTTATATCAACTATTCAAGGTTAGATTTTCTTTTCTAAATATGAAAACAGACAAGTTCAAATATCAAATCGAAACGACAATAAGAAAAGAGAGTGAAAATTACCTCTTGGATCTCGTAGTACCGAGTAATTCACTTTTGGTCATTATTGTTTTGTTTGGTTAGTTACTATTATAGTCGTTATAATATTGTATTCCGATGGTTTAAGTTATTCCATCAAATTTTCGTTCGAATTTTATCGGAACTCGTTGAGTCAACATTTGTTATTGATACATGGCTCCTACATAAGAAATCTCTAAATTAAAGTTAAGACTTTTAGTCCCCATACTTCTCGTAGTTCTCAAGTTCAGTCCCCGTGCTTTGTTTTCATGACAATTTGATTGGGAGCGCGGGTTGCCCTTACGTACCTCGTCTTATAACGACATAGTTATTTCTTATGAAAATTAGATGGATGTCGTTGCTGCGTTTCGTGTTTATGTCGACTTAAATGATGCATTAGCTTAAAATGAGATCGAATCAAATCAAGCAACTTATCTAGAGAAATAAATCTTGATAGTCAGAGAGGAACTACATCGAATGGAGTGATATATTGTTAGGAGTCTGTGTTACGGAAATCGTACATCAGAGAATTTGTGCAGTATAAAACTGTTAATATATCTCAGTTGGACTACAAACAAATATTTGGTTTAAGCTTTTGAGTGAAGATGGATCTAATCGGATATTTTAACAAGCTCAGACTTTGATTCCCTCTTAACGATGTCCTCAGGCAAAAGGTATCGGCTCTGTGATATCAGAGCTAGGTATAGATACTTGAATTAAGATGGAGCAGACCTAAAACTGGAGGGAGAAATTTTTTGCATCTTCTCGAGAGTGTGAACATTTCGTCTAAAAGCATGTGATTAATGCTTGTTCACCTCTAGCAATGCTGGGGGTCGCGGCGACGTTGGCAGCAACCTCCCCTCTTCGTCTATCAAATGGTAAAGAATGGTTGACTTAAATGATGCATTAGCTTAAAACAAGATCAAATCAAATCAAAGCAAGTTGTCTAGAGACATAACCTTGACGGCCAAAGAGCGACTACATCGAATGGAGTGACACGTTGTTAGGATGCATGTAAAAGTTAAGTTGGAGAAATTTCATTTTAGAAAATTAATGTGACGTAGAGCTGTTAATATATTCAAATCAGCCCATAATTTATTAGTTTAAGTTTTTGAGTGAATGTGGGTCAAACTAAATATTTTAATACACTCGAGCTCCCTCTCGATAATCTCTCTAGGCAAAAAATGTTAAATGTTGGGTTTCTACCGCGTGCTCCCAACATATATCGATTAGTTATACCAAATTTGGTTATAAAGGCTCGATACATATCGCTTGTTTGATTATTCCAATAAATATTAACAATTATTTTTTTTCCCAAGTATTTAATGCAATTTTGTATGTTTGATAACTACAAAGTGCACACCATTTAGTTGAAATTTTAAGTCAAAAGGCATTTAAAAAGTTCTAACATAAATAGTTGAACATAGCGACTCCCGTTTCCAAAAATTGAATTGATTGGTTCTCAAATTGTCTGTTCTTATCTGGACCACTTTATATTATACGTAACAAATTGAATTTTTTTTAAAAAAATATAAAAATCGCACCATTTTACTATAGAAATATATGTCGGAACCAGACTGGTTGGTTTGGTTACAGGATAGAATTGGCGATTACAACCTTGTCAATGGGAATGGAACCGATTATTATGCCGGTTTAGTTCAGTTTCCGAGTTGAATCGAATTCGGTGTGCGCACCCTTAAATAGTACAAGTTTTGCACATGCCGGGCAGCGTCCCGCCTTGCCTCGTGGGGATCGGGAGGGGCCGCCCGCCCCCTGCCCCGCCCCGCCCCCACGGGGACCGGGGCATCGGCGGGGCCATCTCTCGTGGCCCATATCCGCGATATCAAATCAAAAATGGTAAATTTAAAAAAAAAAAAATCAGATTAGGGCGCCAAAAGGAGACTGAATAGAAGAAATTAGAGCGCGACCTTAAAAGCTTTTGCTCTCTCTATCGCATCATCACTTCGGAGAACCTCCCCCGTCGCGCTCTTCCGGTGCCGTCAATCATCTCCGCCGCCGCCGCCGCCGCCGCCGTTTCTCGCCGTCTCCGAGCCGCACCTCCCCTCTCCCGTTCATCTCCATTGCCGGTCGGGGAGACTCGAGGCGGACCAGTCCCGCCGGAAGCTCCGTCGCCGGCGCTCGTCTTCTTCATCGGAGACGCCGTCCAGAACCTCCTCGTGCAGGTTCGACCGGTGATCGCGGTCGAGATTTCTCCTCGGCAAGGCAAGGTTCGAAGTCTTCTGTCTCGGTGCGTCTGTGGACAGGAACAAAAGAGTAATGTCACGGTGATGTCATGTGGAAACCGACTAGTGTTAGGGCTATTGTTGAGGATTTGGTCTAAATCTCTCTTGATGTGATACCGTTGAACCAAGAAATTGCCCTAGCATTGCGTATAGGACTGTCATCCGAGACGTTCATCGTCCGTTCGACGAAATGTTCAAGTTGAACCAGAACATGCCACCGGTTCCATTGGCTCACCCGGGACCAGACCAGCCTCTGGTCTGGTTCCCTGTTCCTGGGTGGGAACCGGACCACCCGGGAACTGATCACCCCTACTGGAGACTGAGTGAACGAGTTTCTTGTTTGGATTAACTCGCGACTTAGCATTTCGCCCGTTTCCCATCAAGTTCCCGCGGGGGGGACTTTCCTTCCCGGAGCTTCATTCCCGCGAATTTAGCGTAGTACGCTTTGGTCTCTTTCGTTTTTTGTCCCCCTTGAAATTTCCATCAAAAATTTTTTTTTTGGTCGATTTCTTGTGTTTTATGGTTAATTCGTTAAATGGGATGCTGGTTAGAGAGTTTGATTTGTTTTCTGGTTTTTGCAGCTGGAGCTTCTGTGGGGGTCTGGAGGGTATGAACCGTGCTTGCCATTTCATAGCTACTAAGTCCATGTGAGGGTCCTTGAATTAATCCTGTTTCGAGACGAATTTGGATTTAGTTGCTTGGCTGTCACTTTGGGGTTTGAGTTTCGCTCTTTGCTAATTGTTTTTGGTTTGAATTATGTGTTGGATTGTTTTCTCTTTCAATGGAAAGAACATAGTAAACGTCCTGTAAATTTTTTTTGGAACTCTAGCTTTTCAACTCCAAGGGATCCATTTATGTTGTAAGGAAAAAGTGAATTGTGGATGCATATTGATGGAGGAGTTCACTGGAAGTATTAACTCCTGTGTGCGAAATGCAATTGGGTGTTGGATCTTTCGATTGGTGCAATCAAGTTTTGTATTTTTTCAAAATAGTGCAATGGGATCTCTAAAGTTAGAGAATACCATGTAAGAGAAACCGGAAAAGTGATGAATGGAAGACTTTATCGCACTTTTTCAAAAACTTTCAGGACTTGATTGCAATCAGTAACAATGCTTAGAACGTCTTGTGTACTTTTCCCTGTGTTGATGGGAAGCTCTGATATGTTGCTGGAAAGATCATTGTCCTTGATAAATGTTTCAAGCCTTCCCTAAGTACATCGCTTTTGCTCTGTGGGCTTTTCTGCAGAATCTTTGGTGCTGTAGCTGCCAAGAAGTCATTCAATTTTTCTCCTAAGTTTTCTCGGCAGTCTTGGATCCGGGAGATCAGAATGGAGAAGGGTCAGAATAACTGCCTAAACGGTGGCAGCAGAGAGTCAAGAGGTGCTCTTATTGTTCTAGAAGGATTGGATCGTAGTGGTAAGAGTACGCAGTCGATGAGGCTGGTTTCTTTCTTGGAGGGACTGGGGCATTCGACTGAACTATGGCGATTTCCAGACAGAACCACAAGCATTGGTCAGATGATATCGTCCTACCTCTCTAATGAATCGCAGTTAGATGACTACACGACACATCTACTATTCAGTGCTAACAGATGGGAGAAGAGGTATGCCATCTTTCTTGTAAGCAGCTTGCACTTTCCTTGCTAAAATCTGTACACCATGGTCATCTTTTTGCACAGACGAGCTATTCACATAGATGAGCTTAGCAAATATCTAGCTGTGTTTGCCAACTAAGTGGTTCTCGCCTTTCCTTAGTGAGCTGGTGGACATGATGCCTTCTTCATTGTACAGTACTGGGATGGCTAATGATTCTGTGGTTCTTGTTAAACTTAACAAGGCGGAAGGTTGACACCTATTACTCCTTGACCATCTGTTTTAACTGGTCATGTTTACATGCTTACCCTTGTCTTTGTATGAAGGTATCAGCAACAATGATAACATAATCGTTAGAAATTTCTGGAAGATAAGACGGTGAAAAATAATTAAATTGGTGTACGGTTCAGGCAATTGGTTGCTTGAGGATGAAAGCATCCAGGATCTCTATGAGGTCAAAAATTCTAACATGTGATTTGGTTAGGTATCTTTTGCATTCATTACACAACAAGTGTGGAGAAGTTAGGCAAATCAAAAAAATGATTATGATATAATACCACATGTGAATGTTAAATGGTATAGTGGATGCATAAGATACTTTCTTGATAGGATCGTTCGCTATGATATTATCGTGATTAGTACTTGGCAAAGTCAATATCTTTTGAGCAAACTATTATCGAATAATCTTTTTGACAGGGTTATTTTATGGCATATGATTAAGTACGTTTGCTCTCAAACTAGAAAAAAATTTCTGCTGCTAATTAGCATGCCTTATCCTTCATTTTTTTGTTCTTTTTTTTTTGTCATGCTAGTCTTGTACAAAGTGTATGGTAAACAGGTACCAGGATGATTTCCCATTTTATTGGCCAATTATTTCTCTCATGTTTGCAGATCTTTGATGGAAAAAAAGCTGAAATCGGGGACCACCCTCATTGTTGACCGATATTCATACTCTGGCATTGCTTTTTCATCTGCCAAAGGACTTGATTTTGAATGGTGCAAGGTTAACACTGCTAGAGCATATTTCACCAGAAGACTCAATCTTCTTTATGTTTTAGTTTGGAGATGATATTGTTTTTCCTCTTCTCAGGCACCAGAGATTGGTTTGTTGGCCCCAGATGTTGTCTTCTATTTGGACATACCACCTGAGGTAGTTGGGTCATACCAAATTTGACTTTGGGAAAACTCTGGGAATTGTTACGCTGGAAGAAGTACAAACTTTAGTTTATGTTGGTCCGTCTGAAAAAAATTCTTCATTTTTATGATGTCAAAATCTAGAGAAATTAACCACCACCCGCAGCGGCTGCGTTGGCTTGCGCTCTTGTCCCCCCACGAAGGGATCGGAGTTCGAACCCCAGCGTAGTCGTTAGGGATTCTTAAGTGTGGCGCCGTGGTGGTGGGTCCCGCAGCGTCATCCAGGTTTACCCTCCTCCGGCTGTCGCCCGGGTTCCCGGGTTATCAAAAAAAAAAAAAAAAAATCTAGAGAAATTGCCCTTACCCAAAAAAAATCTAGAGAAATTATCGTTGAAAAAGGACAAGTGTACCTGGAAACTGTTGGATCAATACAGAGAAGCATCTCTTTGATTGTCAGACGAAAAAAACAGCGAGGATTTTTTAAATTGTTGAATGTATGATACTGTGCTATTGTTTTATTGTAATATACTGGAACTGGCTCTTCCTGACTCCAGCAGCAATTTCGAAATTTCAGAAAGCTGCGGAGAGAGGAGGATATGGAGATGAGAGGTATGAGAAACTTGAGTTTCAAAGGAAGGTTGGTAAAAGCTACCAGGCTCTGTGTGATGCCTCCTGGAAGGTAGGTCTCATCTACTGAATTCGGCAATATCATTTGACTGTGCGTTTGGTCATTCATGTTAATATGCCTCGTGTGTTATCATCTGGGACATTCCCTCTTGAGTTGCTGTGGTTTTGGGAATCTTTGTAGGCTACATATGCAATCCTCAAAAGATCCATCATTCTTTCTCCTCTTATCATTGGTCTTTAAAGCGCTCAAATAGAGATTTTTTTGCAGTGTACATGGTTCCACTGGTGTATTTAGTTTGCCATGGTTATCAGCTTACTACTAGAGAGGTTTTAGCTCTGATATCTAGCTTCTAAGAGACTGCTGTACATGGTTTTCCACACTGACATTAGATTTTATAGCTGTGTGAATTCCTTATCTGTGCGATCTTATAAGATTTGCATGTTTGCGTTGTATTTCAATCTGCACTTAGCATGCCATGGAAGAATGCTTTGTTTCTTGTCATGATGTGGATTGATGTTGCAGTTCTATCCTTTTCCCTTTATGTTTTCTATCCTGTCTTGACCCTTCGACGACTGAAAGGGCTGAATTTTTGGAGCTGCCGATCATATGGGTTCCTTCCATTTGTTTGCAGATTGTAGATGCTCTGTTACCAATGGAAGATATATCAAAACAGATGCAGGAGATCGCGATCAATTGTGTCTTGGAATGTCAAAAAGGCAAGTGCCTTTCACATCTATGGTCATGTTGATTCTGTCTAGCAACATTGAAGACCTCACACTACCGGCTGGTTGTTTTACTCGAGAACGCGATCTACAGCTATTTATATCTCATTGTAAGAGGAAAATTGCATGCGGCGTTAGCTATGAGACTTTTTACCGTTTCAGGACCATTTTGAAGTATGATATTACTTTGTGAGTCAACAGTATTACAATGAGCTTAGTGTGTTGAGTTGCGTTTTTATTCGAATTTACTCTGTACTTCGTGTTAATATTGCCCTAAGATGGATTGTCAAACAAATTCTCTCTTCTTAACAATTATGAAGTGATTATATTGGATTCTAGGTTCTTTAATTTTCTATCTCATAGAGGAAATATGTAATGATACGTAAACGATATGTTAGTTTTGTTTTTGGCCAGTGATGTAACATATTTATTCAAAGCCGTTAAGATAAAGTGTTAGTTACGGAGTTCTCTCTTAGATCAAGAACCAATCCCAACATTTCAAAGAAGTACGTGGGGTTAAGCCGTTTGGAGAACATGAAACCATCACGAAATCATATTCAAGCTTGTTGACTTGAGACTGTAATGTCACATGATAATCCCGCTGAAGCAATTGTCTAGACGACTTCATCAATTATATCTAAACTTCTAATATATGCTTCGAATGTTGTCTCATGGGATGAATTTCTCTCCTTTCTTAAAAGAGATATTCTCCTTTATCTGGTTACAACAAGAACCTCATACTTAGTTGAATTAATGTTTCTCATATATTGGATTTAAAGAATAAAGATCGTAAAACACATGCACATCGCTTAGTTATGAGGTTGAAATGGTTCTTTACGCAAGTGCAACCTTATATACGACAATTTAAGCTTTTGGTTTGCAAATTCCTTCTAATATTAGGCCCGACTTCATATCTTTCACTCTCAGTTTATTTTATTTTTTTACAAAGCATCTTTTTGCACTCAATTAATCAGTGATTTCACGTGCAAACTCTGGTTAATTATGTAATTCCACATTCTTCTAATTCACATCAAGACAATTGTTCCTCTTCTTAGTGCCTTGAATCTACGCCAGTATGTCCATTCTCCCTTTAATTTTCTTGTTGTCGCACTTGTTTCCTTATGCCTTGGCGGGTCCCTTGGTAAAATAATGGGATTTTATGGTTTAGGACATGGTTTCAAGCTTATTTCTTGCTGGGAGCAACCTTTTTGGGACAGGTTACAGTAGCGATGTGCAAGATTGAATATATATGTACGAATTAATCGAAAAAAGTAATAGAAGTTAAAAAAGAGAGAGAGATTAAACGAGAAAAGAGGAGAGTGATGACGATGACGACAGCATTTTCCATTTAGGTGGGTCGGGAGCAATGATGACGACACTAATTAGAAATTCGCAAAATCCGACTATTCTTGTTTTCATCGAATGAAAAAGACACCTTTTTGTCCCCCCAACCAAAGAGAGTTTAAGAATCTTCGGGTTAAGACCAACAATGTTGGAGTGAATTGCTGCGATCGCACTCAACACGGTCGACCACTACCAACTCCCAATCAATGCGGCATGGTCAGACGTCACAAAAAAGCATCCCTTCAACTGTAATTGTCAGATGTTGCTCTCCTATGATTACTCTCGCGACTGCGAGATTTGGAGGTCAATCTTCTCATGCTCATAGAAATAGAATATCCTCGTCACGATCCTGATTCTACTTCATCGAGATATTGATGAATTCAGACCTAAGAGGCTTCTCCGCCGGCCACCGAGCAACCCCCTCTCCGAGCACCGTCCTGGGGCGAAATATAGATGACCCCCCTCCCTAAAACCCTATCCGCGAAACCATCGCGATATCTACACGATATTAAAATGCGAGGACGGCGATCGGAATTCGATTCCCCAAACTAATGGACTCCAAGACAGGCCCCTTTTAGAATGGGAATAGAGAATATAATCTGCTCAAAATCCTCATTCACCTCCCAAAAGATCTGTCGTCTGTTCTTTTAACCACCTCAGCATGTCAATTGCGAGACATGGTCATTGGCTAACTGCATTGAATTTTACTGCAAAGATGGAGCTACTAATTGTTACTATCGTCTGTACCTTTCACCTTTCAGCTTTGTTTTTCCCAATCTTCTTCATCACACAAACCGGTTATACCTTGCGAGCCTTCTCTCCGATACAGCCATGTACTGACTGCTAACGAAATAAGAAATCATTTCCGCTTATATCATCATAGGATCCATGGCTTGTAAGCGGTTCTTCTGAAAAAAACTGCCAAACTAGTCAGAACCAGATAAATGAAAAAAAAAAAAACAACATTTTGACATGCTTTTGCTAAATAGAATTATCAAATCATCACAATAAAATATCGTGGCTCTTGCGGAAAATGCCCAAAGCTCGATGTGGAAGTATCCATAATATGCTCGATACTCCCAAACAATAGAGAATGGAGCGTAAAAAGTGCACAACCACAAGTACAAATAGATGGAGGTAAAAGGTACAGAATCTCACCGAGTGCTGAGAGGAAAAGCCCCTAGACTTTTGTAGATTATAAGCAATCCTCACTTTTCGCAGCATGCCGATTCCTCAACTTGTTACACAACGCCATCTCTTCGTGCCGGTTGAGACATGTATGTACAATTGGCAATGCATCCTCAAGCTTACCCCCGACGCAATTCCAAACGAAAGACAACCTTGATATCCAGCACAGCACAAGCACTATAGTTGCATAGATGAAATCCAAGTTTTTAGCGAGACACAAGTTCCAACTACATAGGGAAAATCAAATACATTGTAGGTATGCAATTTCTTCCACAAAGCCGACATGATTCTAATCCAAATGGGCTTCAGCAAGATTGGTGCCAATGGCTACCTAAATTTAGAATTTGTTAAAGATCATGTCCGACATGTTGAAAAGTACCTATATTGACCAGATTCAGCATGTTCAAAATCAAATATATGCATATTGACACCAACAAGCTATTGGAATCCAACTTTTCTTTTTCGTCTGTTTCATTACAATATACTTTAACCTCGCAATTCCTCGGAGACACATTGGCAGAGCCTCAAAATCCTTGAGTATCCCACTGGTAGACGTTCTATAGCGGTTGTAATCTCCTTTGACAATGACTGAGGCAGCGAGTGAGAAACTTTCTCCATGGAAGCTTCGACACGATATGGGAGAACCTCTACAGGATAAAGCCCACTGTCCAATGGACATCATCACCAAGAGTTATCTTTATTTTAAGACAAAATCGAAATGGGTCTATAAATTGGACCCACTATGTAAGTATGTACGAATACAGTTTGAATAGAAGCACACAATCTATAATAAGCTTAGAACTAAGAAGCCCAGAAAAAAGGTTCAATATGAATTAGTCAAAGGTCATGTCAAAGATTGGTGCCACATAAAAAAAACTGTAATCTAAAAGAGAACAGAATTTGTTTGAAAAAAATGCTGGTCCAGACTGAAAAAATAGTTTTCCTAAATCATAGCAGTACTTAGCTAATCCAATCGACACTAATAGAAGTCCAAATCGGAGACAGAAAAATAGAGTAGATGCTAATGTCAAACCCAATAAGCTGAGGGTGCGTTTGGTAACCATTATGTTCCCGGAAATAATTTCTAAGCATTTGAAGGCGTTTGGTAATAGCCCAAAATTTCTATTCCTGGAATAGAAAAAAACAAAAACGCGTTTAGTAACTGCACAAAATTTCTTTTTATTAATAATATTTCTTTCTTTTCTTTTTTTCTTCTTCTCCTTGGCCGTGGCTGGGTCACCGGTTGGCCGGCCACAGGCCAGGGCCGGCGAGGGCCACCCCCGCCCAGGCCGTCGAGCCCCAACGGTGGCCCTCGCCGCTTGAGGGTCGCCCTTGCCAGATCCGGCAAGGGCGGCCCTCGCCCAGGCTGTGAGCCTCAACGGCGGCCATTGCCGTCCCCGACGAGGGCTGGACCCTTGCCGCTCACGGCCTAGGTGAGGGCCGCCCTTGCCGCTGCCCTCATTAGATCTGGTGAGGGTGGCCCTCGCCCAGGCTGCGAGCCTCGACGGCGACCCTTGCCAGCTTGGGCAAGGGCTAGAAAAGGTAGATGAGGGTCTAGCCCTCACCCTTATCGGCGAGGGCGTCGGCCTGTGGCCGGTCGTTGGTCTCTGGTCGCCGGCCACCGGCCACAGGCTAGGAAAGAAGAAGAACCGGCCACAGCCAGGAAAGAAAGAAGAAAAAGAAAAAAAAAATTATCTTCTATTTCTGATTCTTGTTCCCAGAATCAAGAATCAACTTTTTTTTTATTCTTGATTCTGTTCCAAAACCGATTCTGGAAACAAATTTGTGCCCGGGAACAAAAAATTTACCAAACGGATTTCTGTTCTTTTTTTGTTCTCAGGAACAAAAGAATAGAATCAGTTACTATTTGGCAAGTTACCAAACGCAGCCTGAGAAAACTCATGCAAGGAGCATCGTGTTGCTCATTTCGGAAACGACAAATGTCAAATTCATAGATTGGACACCAAAAGGCAAAACGAATTTGGGTAAAACGAAAGAACATCATATGGTTAGGTAATCAATTAGACAGGCCTGCAAGGAGCAACCCAAGCAAGTACTTCACATGATTGGTCAAGTATAATATAAGAGAAGTGAATTGCAGTAATCTAATTCCAAAGTAGCATTTCTAAGTTGGGTGACCTGTCCAGAGAAGCACAAATCGAAATGTTAAATGTCAAAGAATGCTAGTTTCTCTTGTAAAGCTGTCTGCAAGTAAATGCATGACTTTTTCAAGCTGCAAAGAAGCTTGTGGAACCTTCAGATGTGAAAAATAAGAACATATTAAAAGAACTTAAAGAAATTTACCAATTCAGACATGTCACGTCAAAGCTTAATGCCACCTTCTGATCACTGTGGAAGTCAATGAAGGAAAGCAGCAGATCAAGTTGCCCATCTGTAAAATACATGAATCACAATCAGTGCACACGGTAACAATGTAGATCTATATACGGAGAGTCTTGTTTTAGTGAGAATGAAGGAAGTAAAGGCAGGCTACACGTGCGCATAATCAATGCAAAAAGGTGGCCTAAGACTGAGCTATAGAGATGGAACATACAATAGAAAAGGAGGGAACAGATTGCCATACTTGTGTCCTACAATCGAAATTGCTGACACCAAAAGAGTCAGTTAACAATGTGACAATTGGCAATTGTCATCTGACGCCCAAGCTAAGAATTTGATCAATTTAATGCCATTTAAGTTCTTATACTTGTCTTTGCTTCTCCGAATTTCATCATCAAATTAAAATTCTGTTCAATTCCCGAACTTATCGACTCTTTTTTTTCAAAAGTAAGTTCTCACTCAGCAA